GGACAGTAACGGAGCTTATTCATTGCGGTCGTATACTGCGACGGTTTGTAAATCAACTGTCACACAACCAACTCATGTTTATGACCTTTTTTCTAGCGGTCGTTAAACGAACCCATTGTTTGTTAGGCTGCAGTTTTGCCGAAAACCAGAAGTAACTTGGGGTTTTCGGCAAAAGCCGTCATCAAACATGGTCACATGATTGTTGGGTGCAGGAAATGCCAATTAATGCATTTAATGTGATGCCAAATGCCCAAAATGGGGTCATATCATTGTGACAGAAAGACTGTTAAAACTTCGGAACCAGGTCATAAATACTTCCAGAGAGGTCTGAACGGTCGCTAAGCAACCGGTCCTAAGTCAAGGACTACACTACCTGTAACTAGTTCAATAGGTAAAGATGCAAAAAATAGCATGTAGGGTTTGGCTGGTTTTTCTCATGGATATATAAACGTACAGGTAGTCCTCAACTTACATCAGTTCATTTAGTGACCATTCAGAGTTACAAAAGCACTGAAAAAAGGGACTCATGACCATTTCCCACATTTACGACCATTGTAGCCATGTGATCCACATTCGTATGCTTAGCAACGGGCTCATATGTACGGCGGCTGCAGTGTCCCTGGGGTCACGTGACCCGTTTGCGGCAAGCAGAGTCAATGGGGAACCAGACTCACTAACGTCTCACCAAGTTAGCAAGTGCAGGGATTTGCTTAACAACTGTGGCAAGAAAGGTCATAAAATGGGGGCAAAGCTGACTTAACAAATTTCTCGCTTTGCAACTTACGTTTTGGGCTCAATTACAATCGTAAGTCAAGGACTAACTGTGCAAGAAAGCAGCCAGCCAAACTGAGGCCAACACGAATCAAAATGAGGGTCTTGGACAGGGGTTTTCAAACTTTGCCCTTTTAGGACTTGTGGACTTCAACTCCCAGAATTCCTGAGCCAGCATGGGGGAACTATGGCCCCTTCATGACTTGTGGACTTCAACTCCCAGAATTCCTCAGCCAGCATGGGGGAAACTTTGGCCCCTTCATGACTTGTGGACTTCAACTCCCAGAATTCCTCAGCCAGCATGGGGGAAACTTTGGCCCCTTCATGACTTGTGGATTTCAACTCCCAGAAGTCCTCAGCCAGAATGGGGGAAACTTTGGCCCCCTCGTGACTTGTGGACTTCAACTCCCAGAATTCCTCAGCCAGTGTGCCTGTGGTCAATCGTGGTCGTTAGAAAATAGAAAATCCTATTTTTTGAATGACGCCAAACTTTGACACATACTAGGAAAAAGTTCCTCTAACACATGGATATGTCCAACAAGACAAAAAACAAACAAACAAAAAAAACACCCCAGGATCTGTTTGACGAATAATGGAAGGTGACAAATCCCATTGACCTGCTAGCAATTTCACCCTGATCGATTCATCATGTCTGATCATATTACACCGTGGCTGAAAAGGCAACAAAGGTAACGTGGTAGGAGAACCAAGATTTTAGCTTCTTATTGGCTCCCCCATTTTTAACCCACGGGAGTTTTCTTTAAACTTCACAGCCCTAACTGGTCTCCCCCACCTGGAATCTGCAGGTCTTCTCTTGAGAAAGAAATGGCCCATTTCTCATTGACATGATCAAGGTCTCTGCCCTTTCCTTTCCCCATTCAAAGATGTCCTATACATGTAGGACAGAGGTCCCCAACCTTTTGGGCACCAGGGACTGGTTCCATGGAGAGACGTTTTTCCGCGGACTGGAGGGTGTGTGGTTTTGTGTGCTGCCAGCATCCTGCAAATGGGGCTTTGCTTGTTTGTGTGGACCGGTTGCTGGCATGCCGCAGCCCGGAATTGGTCCACAGCCCAGGGGTTGGGGACCCCTGCACTGTGGGTTACCACCTTTCCTGGCTTTGCATGTTCTTATTATAGGAACACAAAAGCAACAAATTCTGAGTCAAGAGCCACTCAACTGGAAGGGAACTAGAAGATGGTATCTCATAAGGCAGGGATCCCCAACCTGTGGGCTGTGGCCCGCTACCAGGCTGTGGCAGTTTGCGTCGCATGCGTTCACGCGGTCCCATGCCGGCACCAGGGACCAGTTCCGTGGAGAACGATTTTTATGTGGACCGAGGGTGCGTGATTTTGTGTGATGCCTGCATCACACAGATGAGGCTTTGCTTGTTTGTGCGGACCGCTTGCTGGCATGCTGTGGCCCGCCACCGGTCCACTGCCCGGGAGTTGGGGATCCTGGACTAGAAGACCTCCAAGACCCCTTCCAACTCTGTTATTCTATTCTAAGTTTCCATACACGCTGTAGTAATGCTGCAAGGAGACGTTTTTGCACATAGATTAGATCAGGGGTCCCCAACCTGTGGGCCACAGCCTAATCGCCACTGGACCACCTGAGTAGCCGGCCGGTGCGCACACAGGGCTCCAGTCGTGCAAGCCTCGTTGCACGGACCCACTTGCACGAGTGTCACCGCAAACCTCGCAGGCGCTCGTGCGCAGGCACACGCGAGCCTGCCCTTCCCACAAAACCATCCCCTCTTTTTTTCCCCTGCCCCCTACTCTGAACCGCCAACCTGGAAAAGTTGGGGAACTGTGGATTAGATAACGAACAAGTGTAGGGAGGCCCTGAGATACACCCACAGAGGTGTACCGCTTCACAAGTACAGGCCCTCTGTTCAACCTGGGATGCTTCTAAGGAGGAGCCGAAAAGTGACCGAGTTTATGCCAAGTTCAGTGCAGCGAAAGCAAAGGAAGCCGCCAATTCTGCTGGAGACAAACACGTTATCTACAGGATTGGCTCTTCCTTTGCAAATCCCGACTTGCGAGAAGGATACACAACCCCACCTGCCTGAACGACACGTGGCCTTGAACGTGCCCTTCCCTTTCAGCTATTCAATCTTAATTTGTATGAAGAGGGGAATGGGATTAAATGCAAGGAAAACAATGGTAACGGTGGCTTTTAATTAACCGAAATTAATTGACGTCCATTTTTCATCCTGGCTTCTCTTCCTTTACGGAGCACGCTCGGTTACCCATTCAAAGGTCAGTCTACCTATCCATCAGCACATCCCTAATTGCTAAGGTGTCAAGAGAGGACGGTGTGACATCATAATGTACAAATCTCGGAGAAAGGACCCTGGTTATTTCAAAGGTCTGCTGGAAGGTCACCCATCCACCTGAGACTCAGTAAGGAATAAAACTTCTTTCTTAGCAGACACTGAACCACGTTCCTGTTCGGGCTACAGGAAGTTCTCAACCTATAACCATTTATTTAGTGACCGTTCCAACTTCTATTTATTTTATTGATTAAACGGATATGCCAGCCATCTCACCGTTAAGGTGACTCTGGGCAGAAGTTATGACAGCATTGAAAAACGAGCAGTCCTCATCCTTACAACCGTTGCTACGTTCCCACCATCATCATGGGATCAAAATCCAGAGGCTTGGCAACTGGGATGCATTTATGACCGCTGCAGCAAGTCAAGTGTGTTCGCCCTTTTTCAGCTTCCCAGCTGGGAAAAGGTTTTAAATTCACTTAGTGGCAGTGTGAGTCACTTAACAACCAGGGTTATCAACCGTGGCAGAAAAAAGGTCGTCAAACCAGGCGCCACTCTGAAAAGGGAGATGGGTGGCGTATAATTTCAATCAATAAAAGTAAAATAAATAAATAAGCGCCTCAGTTAGCAAGGGAAATTCCGGTCCTAGTTATGGTGATAAGTTGAGGACTACCTATACTAGTGTGATGGCGAACCTTTTAGAGACCGAGTGCCCAAACTGCAACCCAAAACCCACTTATGCATCATCAGGTGCCAGGTGGGCGTGGCCCATTGGGTGGGCGTGGCTGCGGTGATAACAGCAGACTGGGTGGGACTAAAAAGTTCAATCAATCAATTCCAACTTTGCAAGATCTTTTTTTTCCCCGTGAGAAGTTGAAATTGACTGATTGATTGAACCTTTTTTCTTTCTTGCACATGGCAGCGGAGGCCTAAAGCGAAAAGGTTTTATAAAACCCAGCTGAAGGCCTAGGACTGGGGCGACGGTGCGCGTGCCCACAGAGAGGGCTCTATGTGCCGCCTCTGGCACCCGTGCCATAGGTTCGCCACCACTGACCTATACTCAGGTTAAAGAGCAGATTGAACCTTCTGGGGTCCCTGGTGCTCGCTGAGCTTGGTGCTTTCCTTGCAGACGTTTCATTAACGAACTTGGTAACAGCATCAGTATTAGAAGAAAGTGGGAGAGGAGGAGGAGGAGGAGGAGGAGGAAGAAGAGGAGGAGAAGGAGGGAGGAGGAGGACTGTGGAGTCCTTGGTGCTCTCTGACTTTGGTGCAGACATTTCATTACCAAACTTGGTAACATCATCATTCTTGATGATGTTACCTAGTTGGGTAATGAAACGTCTGCAAGAAAACAATCAAGTTCAGAGAGCACCAAGGACCCCACAGTCGTCTTCCTCCTCCTCCTCCTCCTCCTCCTCCTCCTCCTCCTCTATTCCACAAACCCCACTTCCTTCTAGCACTGATGAGGTTACCTAGTTGGGTAATGAAACGTCTGCAAGAAAACAATCAAGTTCAGAGAGCACCAAGGACCACAGTGTCATCTTTCTCCTCCTCCTGCACCTCCTCTTTCTCCCCTCTTTCCCCAAAACCCCACTCTCATCTAGTACTGATAAGGTTGTCTAGCTGGGTCATGAAATGTCTGCAAGAAAATAATCAAGTTCAGACAGCACCAAGGGCCCCACAGTCCTCCTCCTCCCTTTCTCCTTTTCCGCAAACCCCATTCCATTCTAGCACTGATGACGTTCCCTAGTTGGGTCATGAAATGTCTGCAAGAGAACAACCTAGCTCAGAGACCACCAAGGACCCCACGGTTTAACTCTTGAATTACAAATATTCTCAACTATCAAAATGAACCATTCCCACAAGGGGGGTATTGTCCATCCTAACCCGTTTGCTCTACAAGTACTACTACTATTTGTTTCTTCCCTAAGTAGGAAATCAGAGGTAGCAGCTTACCTATAAAATATGCCAGCAGCACCACCAGCGTGATGGAGATGAGAATAGCACTAAAAGCAGCGCATTTCCAGGTACAATACTTGTATGGCTTCTTCAGGTTAAAGGCAGGCCTGGAAAACGTGCTTCTGGGGAGGGGCCGAGGGGGTGGCGAGTAGACCGTGCTGGATGTCAAGGGATACCCTGGCGAAGTGGTACAATAGAGTGGAGACGTTCCTCCGGGTTTAAACAGGAAGTGCCTGTGGAGTGAGAAAAGGACAGGTGTCAAAGCAGGCAAACCTGGGGAAGACTTTGGGCTGTGAAGCCTCGATTCAAAACCAACAAAACCCAAATTTAGCATCATGCACCAGAGGAACAAAGGAGGAAAGAAAGAAAGAAAGAAAGAAAGAAAGAAAGAAAGAAAGAAAGAAAGAAAGAAAGAAAGAGGTAGGAAAAGAAGGAAATACAAGGAAGGAAGGAAGGAAGGAAGGGGGAGGGAGGGAAGGAAATACAAGAAAGAAAGAAAGGAAGGAAGGAAGGTAGAAAGAAAGAAAAAAAGAAGAAAGAGAGAAAGAAAGGAAAGAAGGAAGGAAGGAAGAGGGAGGGAGGGAAGGAAATACAAGAAAGAAAGAAAGAAAGAAAGGAAGGTAGAAAGAAAGAAAAAAGAAGAAAGAAAGAAAGACATAAAGGAAGGAAGGAAGGAAGGAAAAGGAAGAAAGAAATGCAACCATGAAAGAAAAAAGAGGGGAAAAAGAAAAAAGAAAGGAAGGAAATGCAACCAAGAAAGAAAGAAAGAAAGAAAGAAGGAAAGAAAGAAAGGCAACCATTGTGTCCCATGGTTTTCTACGTCTTATTACTTTGCTTTTTATTTTTATGCAGTTTTTAATTGCCCAGGATCATGTGTTCCCCCTTTGCAACCTTCTAACAAGCAAAGTCGATGGGGGAAGCCAAATTCACTTCACTTCCCTTTTGCTAACTTAACAACTAATAATAATAATAAAGTTGGAAGGGACTTTGGAGGTCATCTAGTCCAACCCCCTGCTCAGGCAGGAAACCCTACACCATTTCAGACAAATGGCTGCCCAGTCTCTTCTTAAAAGCTTCCAGTGTTGGAGCATTCAGAGCTTCTGGTGGCAGGTTGTTCCACTGGTTAATTGTTCTGACTGTCAGGAAGTTTCTCCTTAGTTCTAGGTTGCTTCTCTCCTTTCTTAGTTTCCACCCATTGCTTTTTGTCCTGCCTTCAGGAGCTTTGGAGGATAGCTTGACTCCCTCTTCTTTGGGGCAGCCCCTGAGATATTGGAAGACTGCTATTGTGTCCCCCCTCGTCCTTCTCTTCAGAGATTCACTTAAGAACTCTGGCAAGCAAGGTCATATAACAGGGCAAATTCTAACAGCAGCAAGCGTCCTGTCTTTGAGATAGAGTGGTTGTGTAATAGATGACATAAATTCACACTATAAAGATTTCTTCCCCGGTTCCACACACCCCTTCAATTAACGAGTGATTTGCTTCAATGGATAAAAACAGTGGAGGACAAACATCCCACACAAACACACACACTGATGTGTAGGATGGAACAAGAAGGAAGTATTCAAATGAATCTTTGAATCTTGAAAAGTTCCTGGTGAGGATTGTTTTATTATTATGATTATCACTCCATTCTTGCCTGGCTTCATCAAGGCTGCTCCCTCGGAGCCAGAAAACTAATAATTAGCTATTTTTTCATTAAATCTTGTTCAGTTATAACCTTGATCAGTTATTGTTTTCAGAATGCAGCATAGCTGCTCTAAGAGAGAGAGAGAGAGAGAGAGAGAGAGAGAAAGAAGGGGGGGCACCATCTACTGATATTATCCTGTTATTTGAAATACAGATAGACCTCCACTTACAATAATTTGTTTAGTGACCGTTTGAAGTTACAACTGTGCTGAAAAAGTGACCCGTGACTGTTTTTCACACTTATGACCGTTGCGGCATCCCCACGGTCACATGATCATAATTTAGATACTTATTTATATTTATGATGGTGGTAGCGTCCCGGGGGTGTGTGTCACGTGGATCAACTTTTGCGACCTTCTGACAAGGAAAATTAATGGGGAAGCAGGATTCACTTAACAACGGTGTTACTCATTTAACAACTGCAGTGAGTTGCTTAACATCTGTGGCAAGATAGGTTGCTAAAGTGGGGCAAATCTCACTGTCTTGCTTAGCAATGGAAATTTGGAATTCAGTTGTGGTCGTAAGTTGAGGACTGACTGCATAGTAAGTTCTTCGGCGTTTCCCTTCCTAGGGAAGCATAAGAACAATATATCTATATCTATATACCTATATCTATCTATCTTTATATCTATTATACCTATATCTATCTATCTTTATATCTATTATACCTATATCTATCTATCTTTATATCTATTATACCTATATCTATCTATCTATCTATCTATCTATCTATCTATCTATCTATCTATCTATCTATCTATCTATCTATCATTCTATTATCTATTATATCTATCTATCTATCTATCTTAT